AGTACCACTTCCCAACAAAAGGCCTGAATTTTAGGGGGTACAGGGCTACCCCACACCCCCTTTGAACTACTGTTATGCATCTTTATTCTTCTTAATATAAAAGATTTTTATTAAAAATAAAGAAAAAATGAGATCCCCCCTTCCTTTTCATCCTCCTCATAACCCCCTCCTCTTAAGGAGGCTTACGCCTCCTTGTGTTTGGGAGGCTTATGCCTCTTGTGTTCTGAATTATGCCTCACGCCTCTAGGTAGTGGAACGCCTCGCATCACGCCTCTGCGTTTTAAAACACTGCTATGAAGGTTTTCAAACTCCTATAAAAATGTAGGTGTTTTTATACAGTTGTAAGGATGCTGCTTAGGAATAAGACACTCTATGGTTGAGTGTGAAATAAAATTAGAAAACAGAAGCATTGCCAAGACATTACAATAGAAAGGAGCCTAAGAGGGAAATTTTAAGGTATTGTGTTTCTCTGAAAATTCAAAAAAAAAAAAAAAACATGGTAAGAAGATGAGCATAGCTCAGATGGATGAGTTTCAAGACTAGAAATGACAGAATTATAAATGAGTGCACTAGAGATGGATTATGAGTAGTCCTCATTAGTGACAAGATGAGGTAAAGTCAATTGAGATGGTTTGATTGAGCATAGAGACCAATGACTGCACGAGTGACTTGCCGGAAGTAGAAGACTAAATATTGAAGTGAAGACTGAACAAAACATGGACTGAAGTGTTAAAAAATCATGCAAAGCCTTCCAGTGTGACAAAAACCAGGCTCTTGATAGAGCACAATTAGGGGACATGGTTCATTTAGCTGTCAAATAATTGGGATTAAGGCCGAATTGAGTTGAGTATTCTTTGAAGAAATCCAGGATTGTGCTCTTAATGACCAACAGCTTTCAATACAGACCCAAATGGTAATTTGTTACTAAATCCACCCTCAGAAAGGAAAGAAGCATGAAAATATGCCCAGTCATCTCTGCACGTAAGGGTAAAGGAAATTCCCTTTATTCATTATACTAATTGAAAAAATTAGTCCCAAACATTAAAAAAAAAAAACTTCAAGAAGCTTGCTTTGTACAAATAATGCAAGTCATGCAAGATCATGTCACTTGATTAGAAATAACATGGTAAGTCCTACTGGAATGTTGAATATTAATCAAATGAAAATTACAATAAGAAAATAAGGGTGAAATCTGGCTGATGAGATAACCTGTATGCTAAATCCATGTACAATTAGGACCAAAAGGTCCAGTAACTCCAGTTATCAATTCTGGTTAACTTTTGGCGGTTTCCTTTCTCCGGTTGTTACCACCGTGACCCCAGAATTCTCCCCAGCTATGAAGTCATTGATTTAAGGATTCAACTCAAAAAGATAATCAAATGGGTCTGAAAGAATACATGCGGAGCAAAGCATGCCTCTTTTTCCTTAAAAAAGCTAGAAATTATGTACTTATTTAAGACACTAGAAGCAGTTGGGGAATCAAGGATCAACCAAATTCTGACAAAATACTGGTTGAGAACGTTAATGATAAGGATCTAAGAGGGTGGGGAAATAAATGATCTAATTTAATATCAAAATCAGTATGAGGCATTTGAAATAACCAACATAGATGGAGGTGTAGTTATGTAGATGGAGGGTTGCAAATGGATTGGGTTTAATTCCATTTATTTAAGTAAGACTCAGGTATCCAATTCAACAAAAAACCACTTCTATAAACAAGCCCAAATTCGCTAACAAACACTGACTCAAACAGAACGGTTTTGATCCACTTGAGATGAAACCATAGGCAATTCAGCCAAAAAGACAATTATGGCCCACAACAACCACCAGGGAGAGGGAAGAATTGTGAATTGCCCTGCTATTCAGGAATCACAAGTCCAGTAGAATTCCAAACTCGAAAGGTAATCAAAAACTCAGAAATGTAAATCATCAAAGAAAAATAAGCACCCAACACAACAAAATTAAAAGCATAAAAAGAGGACGACCATAAATCTCTTCTCACTACAAAAGAGAAGTGAAACCAAAGAAACTTTAAATGCCCACTAAAATGACAAAGAGAGAGAGAGAGAGAAAGAGAGAGAGAGAGAAGATCGACTCCCAAAATTGAGAACGTCAAAGATGATCAAAACCCATTAAATAAAAACAACGAAAAATGTTGAAGAAAGTTAATAACAGAAAAGAGACATTCAGTAATACCCATGAAAAACGAAAAATTCAACACTCACAACCATTACTACTAGAGAGAGAGTGTGTGTACCAGCGAGATCCCGTTGAGCAGTAATGGCTTTGTGCATCTCGACGAGCTCCTCACAAATGGTGGCATAAATAGAAATTTGTTTCCGAAGAAGCTCCATCTGCTCATCTGTCATAACCTTCACGTACATCATCACACCATTTTGCTGCTGCTGCTGCTGCTCTTGCTTCTCCCATTCCATCATCTTCATCTCCTCTTTTGTCTCTCCACCATTTCGTATTGTACCCATTATTACTATCTCTTCATTTGCTCCTTCTCTGTCCCCCACCCCCACCCCACTTTTGAATACCTGCGGAAGATAAAAGGCAGTCGAAAAGGAAGTGCAGAAAACCCAGAGGGCCAGAACAAAGAATCAACAAAGGTAGAAGTGTAGAACATAACGGTGAATGCAATATGCGTATTTTAACACGAAGTGCCACACACGTGTACGTTAGCATACAGTGCACGATACGTACGAGTCTAGTAGTGACCCGATATACCGACGGCAGAGACCCTGTGTTGTATGGCAGTTGACTCGTCACTCGACAGTCGACATGGATTTCTGATTCTAGTTTTACTTCTCACTTCACAGAGATCGAGATTGGTTGGGCCGAACTTATTTATTGTGCGCGTGGAACGTATATTTTGATATGATCTGACGGTGCTGAACTCTCCACCTGGCAAAGTATGGCGATATTTTTCACAGCAGTGAGAGCGCTCTCGCTGGATCACCATTTCATTTTTTTCCCTTGTAAATTGCATATTCATGCATGTAACTGGGGAAGCCTAATTTTGGTCACTGAACTATTACAACAAAAAAATGTAAAAACATGCATATTCATTCATGCATGTTTCTGAGGTATCACTACAATCTATACCTCAGAAACTGCTCATGCCCATTTAGACAATCAGTTCTGTTTTAGCCAAAACTTGATCTTATCACCACAATTTATACCTCAAAAATTGCCTATTTATCTAAGCATATAATGGGCACATACAAATGCACATACATGTTTACTAGTACTTTAATAAATGTGTACAGTGGGCATCGTGGTTTTTGAACTTTTATTGACTCAGATGGTTAGACTGTTCTACCTGAGAACCATTTAAACAATCAGTTCTATTTTACCCTAAACCTGATCTTTAGTAAAAAACTGTTAAATTGGTCAACAATTTATTGACCCAATGATTAAATCATTGACCTGTTCAACCCATTCAACAAATTTTGACTGATTTTTTACTTTATTTAATTTTTTGTCAAAATAAATCACCTATTCCAATCAAACCATCAAACCATTAACCCAGAGATGGGTTTCTAGAAAAGCTTCGATTCCTGGTCGTTTTTTAAAACATTGTGGGCATAGTCTTTTAATCCACTGCGAGGAATTTGTTGGTGTTTTTTTGGTAAAAAGCATTTGTTGGTTGATGGATGCATGAGATGGGAGTAAAAATGTCAATACATGGGAACGATTGAGGAGAGAACATGGCAGACAGCGGCGTCCCCTCTTTTTTTTTTTTTTTTCTTAAACCTAATAAATAATTATATAAATGGAAAAAAGAATCCTACTAATCCAGTAATCCTCCCCCGATACATATGATAATAATATGGAAAACCGTGATTTAAGTTTATAAATTAGGCAAGAAAGAAGGCTTCAATCTCGTTGCCCTACCGTACCGACAAAGTTAGAAAAGATGGGACCCATTACCATAAAACCATAACAACCGGAGTCGTCCAACTTTTTGTCTTTCCCACGTTCGTTTTTCAAAAGCTTCGCAAACTCTTCGTCGTTTAGTTGGTAGTCTTCGTCAATCGCCATACTTTCATACCTACATACAATGGGATTGAGCGGCGGTCCATGGGAACGCTTGGACCGTCAGACACTTGGTCAAATTCCCAATTCAACAAGCGTCTTTGAAACTCTTCCACAAAACTCAGCGGATTTTGCGCTCCGTGTTTGGAAACATTACATTAATGTGGTTTCTTTGAGCTCTGTTCTTGGTTGGGTGGGTCAAAGAAAGTAGGAGGTCTGGCTTTATGGTTTCAATCTGGTCATATTTACCCAACTTGATTGAAGATTCTACACAAATCCAGACTCCTTGAAATTAATAGTAATCTAGGTAAGTTACTTAAAAAACAACTACCTTTTCAACTAATACAGACACGGGACACCTTGATTGATTGGTCAAAGCTTTTTGGATATTATATCCTTTTCGCACCATAGATTTTTCCAAACATTCAATCTAGTTTGATACTGATTAATAAAATATAAAATTTAGTCCAATATGTCTTATTGGCCTATCCAATCCATCTAAATTGATTTTGGATTGGACAGCGGGTCATTGATACACTTATAGCAGTGGACCTAGTTGGGGCTGCGCGGCCGTAAAAAATGGACAAAGAGGTGCAGTCTAATAGGACTATGTTTGAAGAGGAAGCTCTGGTGCAATTGGTGGGGTGTGAAGTGTCTGGGCTCAACGCCATTAATAAGCATGCATTTGTGGGTGTCTCTTTTGCAAGTAGAAGAGGATGGGGTGAGTGAGTTTCTAACTCTAAAGAGGTGTTGGCTTAGGAAGCTTTGTCGCAGAAGAATCAAGGTGTTTTGGAGCAAGAGGAGGATTCTATTAGGGTGAGGAATTCGGTTGCTCTACAGATAGCTTAGACTAATTGCTAAGTAGGGGTTGATT